CACCTACCTCCCCAGCCCCAACTGTGCATCACACCTCCTAGCTTCAGTGAGGGGGAACCTGGGGCACCCTGCTGTGTGGCCAGGCTTGGCCTCCCCCTGCGGACCTCCCTGCTCCAGTTCAGACCCTCCAGAGCAGACACCCCAGCGAGAATTTGGACTTACTGTGCTCCGCCAGCCCCTGGATCATGTCGAATTTATGGATTTCTTTGGCATAGTACTCCGACTCGCTGTTTTCCTGCTTGCAGCCGTCCTCCCTCTCCCCCTGCATCTCCTCCAGCAGCTCTCGGGTGCTGTTGTAAAGGGCCAGGACCTGGTAGGGGACGTGGGTCATCACCGATGGTTCGGGGGGACTGGTGAGCCTGAGTTTGCTCAAGATCTGTCCCCTAATGGCTTCCACCCTCTTCTTCTTGATGTGGCCGAAGTCCAAGGTGGTGCAAGTGGACAGAGAGAGGCTGACTGTGGCCAAGTTCAGCAGGGCCAGGACCACCAGACTCCTCTGCAAGTGCATCTTCATAGGCGAGCTGGGGAGAGCGGCCTGGGGGGCTGGGAGGCCCGGCGAGGAGGAGACCCCAGCAGACGTGCAGAAGGAGGGAGGAAAACCAGGCGGCCTCCCTAGATCCCGAAGACTGAGGCTTGGCAAGAAGGTGCATGAACTCACTGCACTGCGAGAGCTTCAGGACTTCCAGGAAGCGCTGGCAACCCGGAGCGCAGAGAAGCCGACTGTGTGCCTCGGAGCTCTGGGTTTCTTCTCCATGTGTCTAAACAGGTTCTGCTGGGCTCTGAGTCCCGGCAGGCCAGGTGGAGGGCAAGCGGAGGGCTGGGAGGGGTGGCGAGGCAGCTGGGAGTGGGAAGGGAGCTGGAGTTTTTCCTTAGGTAAAAATAAATAGAGAGGATATCTGATATTGCCAAACGCTTCTTGGCGATGGGGAGAAAGTGGGTATTTTAAAGAAGGAACAGAAGGACCGTGGCTGGGTCCCAAAATCAAAATCCTGGCCTTGCCCTGAAGGAGAATCAGAAAAGAGAATGGAAAAGAAAAGGGAAAAAAAGTCAGATCACCAGTGAGTAGGTGGGGAGAGGCAGGGCTGGGCTGCCGCTGGCCCAGCTAAAGGTGGGGGCGGTGCGGGGCACACTTGTCTCTCAGGCACACCATTCATGCTTTCCCTTTTGTTTACACTTCCTCGGGGGCTTTCTCAATGACTTTGTTCACGCTGCCTCTTGTCTTCATTGGCTGGGACGTGGGGTTATGTGCAATTGTAAGACAGGGCGGGCAGGCCCTGGGAGAACAGCCCCAGTAATCCACTTGGACACCCAGGTCAGCTGCACCTCGGCGGGTCTTCTCCCTCGGCCTTTGCTTCTGTTCCCCGCTCCTCTTTGAAAAATAAAAAGGAAAAGGAAAAGAAAAGAGAAGCCAGTTCGCTGCACGCCTGCTCCGGGAAGCTGGGGGACTCCTTCCTTCGCAGGCGCCGGCCCCTGTCTCTCGCCTGGGGGCTCGGTCCCTGGGTCTAGGCTCTCTGCGTCGCTCCCTTGCTCGCTCTCGCTCCTCTCGCTCGCTCTCTCCCTCCCTGCCTCCCTCTCTCCCGCTCCCCCCTCTCCCCTCGCCGGCTCGTCTCCCCGCTCGCACACACACACATGCACACACACACACTGCTTTCTCTATTTCTCTCTGCTGAAATTTTATACCTCCCTCCCATGACGTCTCCGGCCCGGGTGGGGGAGGGAGGGCCCATTGCACGCAGCCTCTTTTGCTGCTGCACGATTTTAATGTTTTAAACAGGCACAGGAAAAGCCGAGCCCATTTGCAAAATACTTTGCGAGCCCTCTCGCTCGACGTGGTAGCTGAACTTTTTTTCCCCTCTTGGAGTCACTCCTGCTACACGTTGACTGTTTTTCTGGAAAGTTACTCCGATGAATCCCCTCCTTCCCTCTCCGCCCGGTCCTCCCCGGTCCTCCCGCCAGCTGTCAGTCGGTCCTGGCCGCCCCCGGTCTCCCGCGCCCTCCCCGGGCCCCGGCCGCCCCAGGCCAGGCGGGAGGGCGGCGCGCCGGGTTCGGGGCCCGCGCGGGGCTGCGCCGGCCGTGCCCACCCTCGAGCCGGGTCACGCCCGGCCTGGCAGCCGGGCTGCGGCCGGGCTCAGCTCTGCGGCGGTCCCGGCCCCGAGTCTTCATTGACAAGATTGAGCCGGGCGGTTTGCAAAAGCTGGGAGGTGCTCCCAGGGCATTGAAAAATGGTGGCGCTTTCCGGTAGATCGAGGGTGCCCTCTGGCGAGGCGAGGCCGCCAGTGGCGGAGGCTCTGCAGGGAGGGCTGGGGCCGGGCCGGGGCCGGGGCGGACGGGCCGCGGGAGGGCCAGGGAGGCAGACCCGGCGCCAAGGGGAGCAGCCCCCGCCCCGGCCCGACGTGCGCGCACGTGCCGGCTCCTGCCCCAGCCCTGCGCGGCAGCCGCCGTCCGCACCAAGGTCCTCCAGATGCTCGCAGCCGCCCTCGCGCCAGGGCTGCGGGGAAGTTCTCTCTCTCTTCTGGGTCTAAGCGTCTAGGTCTTTGCTCCTGAAGCACCTTAGGAAGGGCAAGACAAATCTTCCTGCCCCGCTCCCCCCCAGTCCCCAACACACACACACACACACACACTCTCACAGATTTACTTCTGAGTTGATGACTTTGCTAGGAATCAGTGCTGCACCCTAAAAACCCCTCACCCAGCCTCCCTGCACCCTTCCTGCCAGGCCTGATTCCTGCTCCTAACTCCTAGGCCACTAAATGAAGGGCTGTTGGCAGGCGCATCAGCAGTTGATCAGGACAGTCCTTGACAGCTTAACAGTTGAGGAAACTGAGGCACAGAGCAATTTAAAGGGCCACACTGCGTGCGCAGGTGAGCATTATTTTCAGTTACATAACACATGAGGATACCTCAGTGTAGAAAACTCACAAGTAACTTGCCCAGGGTCATAGGTAGGGCAGGCAGCTGTGGACGCTGCCAGGAAGTCGAGGGCAGGAGTCTACATACTTAACTACTGTGCCATCGTTTGAGAACTGTGACATTCACTATAAGCCAGGTGTTGTTCTGAGCTGTGCGGCTAATACAGTGAAAAAAGCAACCTCTCTTCCCCAGGACAAAAATCTTGCCCTCCTGAAGCCCACATTCTGGAGTTAGAGGTGAGGGTTTATAACTACATAACCTAAATAAGTAAATGATGTAGTGGATAAAAGGGAAGTGCCTTGGTGGAAAATAAAGCAAGGAAGGGGGAGAGGGCGCCTAAGTTGAAGACTGTTGCAATTTAAAATAGGGTGGTCAGAGAAGGCTTTCCTGAGGCCTCTAAGCAAACTGACTTGCAGTGTGGAAGGGGAGAAAGGGAGAGCCTTCTGGACTCTATCTCGGCCAAATCTCAATTTCTGGTGCTGTGGCTCTGGCATATGTATTTTTAACAAACCTCACAGATGAGTCAAGGACTCAGGCAGGTTTGGAAGCCACTACTTCTGGGCTTCTTTCTGCCTGGGTGAGCACTTTCCATCTTTTGCTTTCAGAAAATTGGAGAAGTTGAGAGTGAAGGTTTGGGAACTGACCATCAGGTGGTGGTGGTAGGGTTATGAGTTCACAGGAAATGGAAAAATACAAGGATGTAATTCCTTCTTCCTCACTTGGTGCTAAGGAAAAAGGAAACAAGGGACTTGCTGGAGCTAATATTTCATCCATCTTAAATTTTTTTGCCAATGAATGTTGCTTTACATTAAAATCTAACAGGGAATTCTCCTGAGAATTAGAGTTAGCAAGTTAGGATTAATCTTTAAGAGTAATTGCCAGGGAACAAGCAAGTCCAGAGAGGGTTCTGCCTACCTGCACAGGTAGTTACAGCAGGGCTAGGACCACACTTCAGCTGCTCTGACACCCAGGCAGTGTTGTTGCTGTCACAACGCACAGCCTTACCCAGCAAGCATGAAGGGATGAACTGAGTAATTCATTGGGTATTCAAGAAGTGCTTGCCATCCAGTTCTACAGTGCAAGTCCCACTTTCAAGTCCTCATGTTTAAGCAGTGACCATCTAGGTCTTACCCCTCTAGTATGATACTGGGTCATGTCTCACATTTAGGGCCATGAGCCCATCTTTTGGGGGTCTCAGATGACCAGTACCAGAGACTTGGCCACTGATGTTGACTTGGGCAATCTTACATAGAGAGTCAATAAAGACTCACCTAGCTTGCCCCATTAGAATGGGAATTTAGGGGACAGCTCTCTCTATGAGAGTGACCCAGCAGTATGTGCCGGTAAAAAAAAACATTCCAGTTAGAATTGGTGTTAGAAAGGCACCTTCTCTCTTACTGAAAACTAAGATGATTTTCCTCAAGCCATCTCTCTGCACTTTGTTGTCCTTAATTGTTCAACAGAGTTATTTATTACTGCTGCTCACTTTATGGGGTTATTGGAGGGAATATTTATACTTCTGAGAGTTATAACTACTCAGGTATTTGATGTGTTGGTTCAGCCTCTCTGTCAACTTCTTGAAGGCAGAGATAATGTATATTGCACTTTCTGTTATAAACCATTTACTACCACCTGACCTTTGTGATCTTGTTTTCTCATCTGTGGAATGGAGACAATACAACTTATCTTACTTCCTATACAAGGTTGTTATCCCCTTCACAGAGGCTAATAACTGTGAATGTCTCTGTCCATTGCAAAGAGCCACACAAATGGGAGGGGTCACTCTAGTTAACTACTATTACTAGTAGTTTTGCACTTAAAAACTTTGGTATTAAAACAGAACTCCGCAAGTAGACAGTTCCTAAAGACTAGCACTGCCCCACAGAAACAGCTTTGGCGGGACTGAATGTCTGGAGGTTTCTTCCGAAAGTCTACCAGTGCAGGTTTAGGAAAGATTTGGTTGAAGTTGGAGGGAGGCACAAAGATGCCAGAAACGATGCGGCGGGCCCTTTAAGCGCAGGGCTGGAAGGGTGGAGCCGTCGTCAAGGACGCAACTGGGCCACTTGGTTTCCAGGAAGTGACGTCAGGCGGCCGCGGAGATGGAGGACGTGCTGGACCTCGGCGTGGAGCGGCGCCGCGGCTCGGCCACCTCCGTGAGGACCCACGCGGGGGGCTGGGGTCAAGAGCCAGGATTTGGGGGGGGGGCGGGGAAGGGCGACCTCGCGGCCCCCGCCTCCCCGAGGCCCTCAGGCGGGATCTGTCTCCGGCGGCGGCGCGAGGCTGCCCGGGCCGCGGCCGGGTGAGGCCGGGGAGGGGCCGGCCCCCCGCCCCGCCCCGCCCCTGGGCCGCGGGGGCGCCTCGCGGAGGGGAAACACGCCCTGCCCCCGCGCTTTCTGGGACCGTGGGAAGTTTCTCGGCTCCTCTCAGATTCCTGGAGCTCAGAGTGCGAACTTCCTTGAATGGACGGAGCCGGGGTGGCTGGACCGCCGGGCCAGGAGCTCACTTGACCCAGCCTAGACTTTTCCCCTTGGGACTTCTCCTGCCAGAAGTTCCTGTAAAACTGCACTGCTTTGTCGAGGAAGGGAGGCGGGAAGGAGGATAGGAAGGGAGGAAGGCCCTCGGCGCCCTTCTTGTCCTTAACCCCCATGGGGAGGTGGTCGTCTTCAGGTTTGTAGCTGAGGAACTCAAGGCTCAGAGTTATAACGTGGAGAGTGGCTCGGTGCTCAGGCCCAGGGGTGGAGTACAGAGCAGTTGCATGGATTTTTGAAAAAGTTAATTTCCCCAGACCTCGGTTTCGCCATCACTAGGATGTAAATGTTGGTTTCTGCTTCAGGGAGTTGCAGTGAAAATGAAATGGAATAATGCATGGAAAACATTTAATGCGGTGCCTGGCATATGCAGCTATTAGAAGATGTTAGCTGGTATTGCTTCAGAGGCTATATACCCAAGGCTATATAGTCAGTAAATACCTAGCTAGATTCAAGACCCAATCAGTAAATACCTAGCTAGATTCAAGACCCAACTTCATTGGTGTTTTTGTTGTTGTCGTGTTGGGTGTTTTTAGCTGCATTACATCCCTCTCAAACCTTTTTACCTTTAAAGTTAGTTAAGATCACAGATACTTAGGGCCACAGAGCAGGTCTTTAGTTTCTGCTGTGGGATCCATAACTGTTTTGAAGTGTCCTGATAGCTTGGCATGTCTCCAAGTTACTAGAGAGGCGATGTGAGGGACAGGAGCAAATTGTGTTAGGGGAAACAGGTTGCTTGATTGACCACGGGGCATATTAGGTCACCAGACCTTTCTGATAATTGAACTTGTGTGGTACTTGGGGATATGGCTGTAGTTATTCATTCATTCTTTCAAATACTTGAGCCCCTGCTATGTATCACACATTGTTCTAGGTGCTGGAGAATGAGCAGGGAATGAAGCAAAATGCCTGTCTTCATTCCAGTGGGAGATGACAACACAGACTATACCTTTAAAATATAAAAAAATCAGGTAGCAAAGTAGTTTTTCTAGACTTCAAAAAGTCTAAAATCTTAAAATAGTAATCGGCGAAGCCATAAGCATTTAGAGACAAGGTCAGTTAATTTTTGTTTCAGCACACCCACTGCAGGTGCCATGTTCAGATGTCCATTGCTATGGCAGATGGAAAGAGGGGACGTGTAGAATTGTCCACTTTGGGAAGAACGTGAGCCATTTATTACCAGGAAGACATTATCCCTGAAAAATAAATGATGGATTAGAATTTGAAATGTAAACACTACATTAGGGTTTTCAGGCAGCGCCCATGTAACTCATCTCATTAAAACCAGCACTTCCAGCATGGTGTAGTAGAAAGAACTCAGAATTTGAAGACAAAATGATTTGCTCTTGGATTTATGTCTGCCTTGCAATCATCTTCCTAGGCCTCAGTGTGCTTGTTTGTAAAATGGCATTACAGTTATTGTGAAATCAAACAAGATCTAAAGGTGTTTCTGTTAATGCTGTTCTTTTAAAAAAGCAAACAAATGAAAGTCTAAATACTTTCGTGCCCACCTACATAAAGCTTTGTTTATGTGCTAGGAAGCAGTTGAGAGACAGCCTCTACCCCAGAAAGACTTAGGGAAACACCTGCAAGTGCCTCATGTGGTGATTCAGAATTTGAAGTGTTTTAATTTCCAAGACTGATGTCTCAAATTCCTTGTAAGAGTTTTCCTTTCATGTCTGTAAGTTCAAATCAAATTAAGGCAAATTAAATCAAGGCAATGTCTGTCAGTTGCTGTAGAATTTTAAAATTCTTTCCCCCCAGATCCCTTTGGTAAGTATTTTCATGCCAAACTTCAGTTTTGAAATTAGACCTCCCTAACACCCTGCATAGAACACAGGATCCTTTACCACAGTCTTCAGGAGCTGTGGGTAGGTGCTCTCTGCTCATTCTAGAATTTCCAACTGCATTTCTTTGGGTTGAAGAGAGCTATGGCAGCTAAAAGAAAGCCTTGAGATCATGAATTTCCTATTCTCCTACCAAATAGGACTGACCTCAGATCCTTCGTGTTAAGGTTTGGAGCATTTTCTAAGAATGTGTTAAAGCTATTCAAGTTCCATCCTTTACCATGTTATCACAAGTCCAGCCCTGACTAGCTTCCCTGCCTTCTTGTCCCCATGATGGCTCAAAGACTTTTGGGTCAGCCATGTCCCTCATCTCCTTACAGGGGGCCAAGATGGGTCGCCGAGCTCAACAGCAGTCAGCTCAAGCGGAGAATCATCTCAGCGGCAAGACTTCCTTTTCAGCTCTGTCTGGAGAGGTAGGTATTAAAACACCTACAGAAGTTCTCCTAAGAGATAGGGATTACTTAGTGAGCAAGGGTTTCGTGTTCCCTGTTTCTTCTCTTTCTTTTTCTTTTTTTTTTTTTTTAAGATGTATTTATTTATTTATACAAGCACTGGGTACAGTCAGAAGCGTGGGAGGGTGAGAGAATTCACCAGAGCCGAGCTGGGAACGGAACAGGCAGACAGACGAAATACACTGCTGAGGGGAGCAGCGGGCGGCAGGAGAGGTCTGTCGCGCCATGTGGGATCCTCGCCGGTGGCCGGGGATCGAACTGGCGCTGCAGAGGCTGCGGACAGCTTCACAGCACGGTGCTCAACTGCCTGTGCCACCAGGGGAGGCCCTGTTTCTTCTCTTTCATGCCAACCTTTCTTCCTGCCTTGATTGGGAAATTTCCTTTTCATTGCAAATGACAGAGGAACTTTTTCCCTTTGATTCTGCAGTAGTGTTTGTGCATTGCTTTATAGTCTCAGTGAAGAACTTAAGTTAGCTGCAGAAGGGATTGGGAAGTTTCAAAATCCAGGTGTTTGTGGGTTTTTTTTCCCCTGTTGAATAAACGCCAGCGAGCCCTGCTGGTGACATCCGGTTGGATTACACAACTGAACATTTGCTTTGAGTGGTGACCTGTACTTTCTCAATTTTTCAGGCAGGAAGGGGTCAGTGCTGGCCTTACTTTCCTGGAAACTTCGGGATAAGAGACCTGGAATTATGGGAGTTTGTCTAGCTGCTTTGTGGAGGGTGGGTCATCCTGATGAGCAATACTTTTAATGTCAGGGTAACTATTTTTGGTGGTTTCCTCAGAACCCCTTTTTAATCTTCCTCTGCTCTTTTGAAAGAACTGTGCCCATTTTAGAAGTGAGCTTCAGGAAATCCCCTCTGTCAGCTCTTCCTAACTTCTCCACTGAGGGCTCCTTCCTCCCAGAGCCCATGGTGCCTATTATGGTGTTGTGCACATTATATGCTCATTGTGTTTTTCATGTCAGCCTGCCCCCCTAGATAGTGGGTTCCCAGACAACAGGAAACCTGGTTCCTCAGCCATCTAGTGTGTTGGCCCATAGTAAGTTACAGCAGTTGAGGGGATCTATGCTGAGAAACTGAGGCACCTGGCTTGTGCGTGAGCAAAGCATACTGTGGACAAGACACAGACACACTTTATTTACACATCACATGTGTAGGGATATTCTTCACTTTCATAGGAAATAAATTCTCTACCATTTCTTTAAATTCTCCACATGACCCTTTGAATGTATCTTTCATTTTCTCACCTGTTAGAGAAATATGAGTGAATCAATTCTTTACGCTAATGTAACAACCTTGCCAGCACAGAAAACCTGGTGACTGACCCTTGGCCTCATTGTTTGAGGACAGAAAGGAGTGCGTGGGTGGGGGAAAAGGTGGGAACCAGAGGCCACATGTCCTCTGGAAGGGGGCAACCACAAACTACCTAGCCAAAGCCCACTACTGCTGTGATGAAGATAGGCCTGGTAGTCCAGATCTTTTCGTTTTCCAAGAGACACTGGCAGTCTAAAATTTTGTATGAATGCAACATGATTAGAGGTTAGCAACTAATTATAAAAACAGGGAATCACCCTATGGGCTAGATTAGATCTGAGGGTTGTCAGTTTGTGACTTTGGCTGTACCACTTCCATGATGGCAGTTATTACATCGTATTGTAGTTGTTGACATGACTGGCTTGCTCTTAAGAGGTGAGCTTCTGAAAGGCAGGACTGTGTCTTATTACTGTACCCTTTTTCCTCAGTGCCCCCACAGAACAAGTATGAGTTAAGGGGGTGAGGCCCAGGCTGTGTGAGGATTGTTTTTAGAATCTGAGTGATCTTACCAGGTGGGCAGAGAATGGAGCATTAGAGGGACGGGGACCGGGGGTTGTAGTATAAGGTAGGAAGATGGTGAAAGGACACTTACTGGACCCAACCCTGGACCTCAAGGAGCTTGAACCTTAGTGGGTGCCTTTAAAAGAGAAATGGACAAACGACTGGGTTAATGAAAATCTACTCTGGGCCTTCTGGTCACTTTAAACAGTGTGTCTAAGAGGATCTGTCTCAGCACCAGATTATTTATTCATTTTTTTGACAAGTTTTTAGTAAAGTTTATTGTATGCCAGGCACTATTTTAGGGATTTGGCATGTTTCAGTGAACTAAGGAGACAAAATACCTGCTGTAGTAGAACTTGTATTCTAGTGATCATTGGCAGCCAACATGACTGGTTACAGATCTGCTTAATCACCGAGGAGATTCCAGCAAGTGATAATGGTTAGGTAAGTGAGCCTGTGATGAACCAGCAGGTCCCAGCATGATCTGATGGCTTGGAAGCCCTGTGTGGCCCCCATACCCAATCATCCCCTCCCCCCGGCCTCCCCGCCCAGAGTCAGAACTGTGAGCGTGTAACTCCAGAGTCACAGACTGTGATGACTCTGTCAGTCTCTCTGGATGCCAGCATAGTTCCCCAGAGACAATTCCCTCTCTTTATCGGGGCCTTAGCACTCTTGGGAGAACATGATGAAAAGTCATTCTGTTCATCACCCAATGGGTGCCCCTGAAAGTGAAGTCCAGTCAGAATTCCAGAATTCTTCCTTTCTTGGGTCAACTGAGGTTTAAAGCAGTGTGGGCAGCCTCCCCCGGGGCCAGATGCTCACTGTGCTGTGTGGGACTTTTGACTGTTTCTTCTAAAATTAGATCCCAAGACTTGTGTATGTGCCCATTTACATTCCAATTCTGAGTGTATAACTTGATATATTTATTTCTGACCTCTTGTTAATTGTGTTCTGGGGTGAAGCTCCATGAAAACGTAAATATGGTACTTGGGGACTCTCAGGAGTGCTGGAGTTACGTTAGTGTCAAGTAGAAATGAGCAATTTAAAGAGATGTGGGGGAGTTAGGAGTGCTGGTGAAGGGAGCAGAGAAGCAGCCTGCTGGCATAGACAGAACAGACGGCTTGGCAACAGAGAGCCAGCACTTGACACTCACCTCTGCTAATTGCCTGAACCTTGAGCACGTCCACTAACTGCTCTGATCCTCCATTTTGTGATTTGTCAGCTGGCAGTCACGATGCCATCAGGTTGGTGGGGATTAAGTGAACTATGCATTTGAAAGCACTTTATTAATAAACTGAAAAGCACTGCACAAACATTCATTCAAAAAACCGGTGCATATGTATTTGGACAGTGCTTTGCACACTTTATTGAAGAGCAGCGAAGGAGGAGGATTAAGCCTTTTTTTTTTTTTATAAACATTTGTGCTTTATTTATTTATTTATTTTAATTTATACAAGCACTGGGTACAGTCAGAAGTACGGGAGGGTGAGAGAATTCACCAGAGCCAGAGCGGGGAGCAGAGCAGGCAAAAGGACCGAAGTACACTGCTGAGGGGAGCAGCGGGCGGCAGGAGAGGTCTGCGCGCCATGTGGGACCCTCCTCTGGTGGCCGGGGAGCAGCAGGGGATCGAACCGGCGCTGCAGAGGCTGCGGGCAGCTTCGCAACCCAGCGCTCAACCGCTGCGCCACCGGGGAGGCCCTAAGCCTTTTCTTTTGCAACTGATTTGGAAGTCTCTTCCAGGACTACTGCTCATTTATCCAAACACTGATTGGTAGTGATTTGAAGCAGTATTTTTGCTTTTGGGGTGCACTGGGGATTCCTTTTCAAGAGTGGATAAGAGCACAGATCTTGGAGTTGGAGGAACCTGACACCCCGGCACTGCCTCTTAATAGTTCTGTGACTAATGCAGTGATTCACGTCTTTAAGCCTCTGTTTCCTCAATGGTAAAACCAAGACGATAATATACTTCGTAGGGTGACTGGAAAGGAAAAAATACTGAGATAACAGATGCAAAGTCCTAACACAGTCTGACACATAAGCTTCAAGTATATTGCTAACCCGTCTTATTTTTCTAGAACTTAAGTGTTCTTTTTAATTCTGCCTTTTCTTCTTGATGGAGCTTGAAAACTGGTGACCTTCAGGCTGAATTTAACTTACAGCCATGTCTTATGTGATTCATATAGAGTTAAAAAAGTTTTTTTAACTTGGTTGTTAGTTAGAAATTAGGATACTTCACATAAAAATCCAGACTTGGGACTTCTCTTTAAAATCACAAGTTCTGGCACAGTGGGAATGCTGGGCTGGCTGGAGCTGATACTGCTGCTCGCTTGCCTGGACCGCCCTCTCTGCTGCTTCAGTTACGTTACTACACAGGTCAGATTTACTCACATCCGATCTGCTTAGCTCCTGTTTCCATTTGACTTTCAAGCTCCTGCCCTCTTAGGATGGATTGATTTCCATGCATACCTGTTTGTCTTGAATTTGCCTCCATGCAATGAACACTCAACCTAGTACTCGAATCAGACAAGAGTGATTTTTCTCACAGCAGAAAGTCCTGGGGAGGACAGGGCAGGGTGGGTGTAGTCACTGGCCAACAGCTGCTTTCCCTGGCCCCTCCTGTTTTCCTGCTCTGCCGTCTGGGGCTCATGACTTGTTCTCTTGGTTCCAAGATTACTGTCTGTTCCCCAGGGAGCAGATCTTCATTCGAGGCAGGAAGAGAGGGAATAGTTGAAGAGTTCAAGGTACATGCCTGGGAAGTGTGTTTCAGGAAGGCAATAGCCAGAGACCTCACAGAGTAGATGTCTCCTTACATTTCTTAGGTTGGAACTGGGTTTCACAATGACCTTCAGTGTGAAGGGAGTTTTCAGCTGGGCACACTGCCATACCCTTACTATGGGGGGGTTGGTGGGGCGAAAAGGAGGATGGCTATTGAGTAGGTGGTTTGCACTGACAGGTCAACTTTAAAAAAAAAAAAAAGAATTTATAGAAAGGTTTTTTTTTTAATGGGCTTGGGTATGAAAGGGAAGAATTATTTTTAGTAATGAAAAAAAAATACCCACATTCCTCTCTAGTTTTCTAATTTAAATTTGTATAGAGTTTGGTGGAAAATTGTATGTGCTGGGGTCACAGGATACCTGGCAGAGA